ATTTAAACTTTTCTTTAATTGATCAAGTTCAATTTCAATTTGTTCTTTCTCTGATTTAATTCGTTCATTCTCTGATTCAACATGCTCTTTTTCCGATTTAAGATTTTGATATTGCTTTTCCCATTCACCCTTCATAATCTTAACAACACTAGCTAATTTATCCCGTTCACATTTTATTTCTTCTAATTCACCTTTTAATGATAACCCTTCTTCGTGTGATTGTTGTTTCTCTTCCTTTACAGTTTTTAATTCCGTTATTAATCGATCTTTTTCCTGAGATATATTACTTATTTCAGCAGAAAGGGTACTTTTATCTTTTTCTAAATGAAGATTCTTGTTTTCCAGTTCATCAATTTTTTTGCGAATATCGTTAAGATCAGTTGACATATCAAGATTTTCTTGAGTAAATTGTATATGTTTATTGTTCAATTCATCATAACGACGAGTAGCATCTTCAATTGCTCGAATACATAAAGCATTTTCAGAGCGAAGAGATTCATTTTTATTTATTAATTCAGTAATCTTTTCTTCATGCACCTTTTTCAAAGATTCAAGTTTTTGATCATGATCTGCTTGAAGACTTTCAAGAGCGGTCTTGTGAGTAAATTCTAGGTTATTACGTAATTCAGTTAATGTTTTATCATGATCTGCTTGAAGGCTTTCAAGAGCGGTCTTGTGAGTAGATTCTAGGTTATTACGTAATTCAGTTAATGTTTTATCATGATTTATTTGGTGTCGTTCAGTTTCATTTTTAATAGAATTTTCAAATTCGATTCGTAATGATTCTATTTCATTGTTATGTTTTGAATAGTTTTCTTCTTTCTCTTTCGTGACGAGTTCAAGTTGAAGTTCCAATTTTTTAATTTTATCATTTGAATCATTTAATTGAGATCGAATATTTTCTAATTCAGACTCTAAATTCTTCTTTTCATTTAATTGATTTGAAAGTTTGAGACGTATATTAGACAATTCATTATTTGTTTCATCGAGTTGTTTACGAAGCTCTTGAGATGTCCCCTCCAATTTTGACATATCACTCAATTGACGTTCAAGATCGGAGATGGTCTTCTTAGCGTCTTCCTTACTTAAAGTAAGTTCATTCAATTCTTTGAGAGTACGATCGTGCTTAATTTGAAGATCATTTAATTTAGATTGAGTATCTTTTTCAGATTGATTTATATGTATTAATTTATTTTCCAAATCTCTTTTTTCAGCTTCATGTTTACTTAATAATTGATTTATTTTTGATTCAGTATCTTCTTGTGATTTCGATAAATTATTATACTTTAAAGAATGTTCAGACATTAAAGTTTCTTTTTCCTTTTCATGTTGTTGAAGGATTAATCGTTTTTCATTTTCAAATGCCTCTTTCATCGTATTAAGATCATTTTCGACTTGTTTTTTCTGTTGTGAAAGAGTAGTTAGCTCAACTATTATTTTTTCTTTTTCTTCATTATGAGATTTTTTTAATAAATTTCTTTCATTTTCATATTTTAATGATAAAGAATTTATCTCAGCGGAAATTTTTTCTTTTTCAGCTTCAAGAGATTTTTTTAATAAAACTTTTTCATTTTCATATTTTAATGATAAAGAATTTATCTCGGAAGATATTTTTTCTTTTTCAACTTCATGAGATTTTTTTAATAAATCTTTTTCATTTTCATGTTTTAATAATAATTCTTGACGTATACGTTCATTTTCTTTATGTTGTTCAGCAAGTTCATTTTTAGATTTTTGTAATTCACTCCAATGTTTATTTTTTGTATCTTCTAATTCTTGCCTAACTTTTTCAAGTTCTTCAGCATGTTTTTTCTCAAGTTGAGCTTTTGAAGAATCATCCAACAAAGTACTATTACTTCTAGAGATATCATAAGAAGGAGTACGAGAAGTATAATTTGAAGATAAACAATTACTAAGATGACCATTTACCGAAGGTAGTTGATCAGATTTTGATAAATCAGAATGACGAGAAATTGAAGTAGAAGTAGAAAAATTATCTAAAGACCCATTAGAACCATTTAATGGAGAACTAAGATCAGAATAATAATCAAGATTTTCATCAAGATTCATCTTTTCTTTTTGAGAATTAGAGTCCATATAATTATCGAGGTCAATATTATCAGTCATTTCTTTGTCTACCGTTTCTAATTCATTTTCTAAGGCAGCAATACGAGAAGCCAAATTGGCGATCGCAGCAGCAGCGGTATTAGAAACCGACATCCCTGATGTGGTTTCTGACCTCATGAAATAAGTGAAAGGTGTGGTGGGTATGAAATGATTCGGATAAGAGAGAGATAATTTAATGATAATGAAAAGAAACTATTTGGTTGCCAATGTTGTAAATACTTGTTTTTTTTTTAAGCATCGATATAATAATAATAATAATAATAATAAATATTTCAATTATTAAAAAAATAAAGAATGAGTTAAATATAATTCGAGCATTCATTGTTTAAGTACGTATTTATTTCTTTTTTTTGCATACTTACGTTTTATTGGCTGTAATTAGTAGACTATTTTTAGGTGTAAACCTCGATAATAGCAGGTAATAAATAATAATAATAATAAAAAAAAAAGAGTGATATGGTCGTCTTTAAAGACTTTTGTTAGAATGAAAGTAAGCTTTTAAATTTAAAGCTTGAAAAATTGTGGGTAATGTATAAATTATATTTGGTAACACGCAATTAAAACAATTGGACATGTACGTACCAATACTAATAATATAATAGTTGTATCGGTAATACCGATACATTTATCTATTTTTTTATTTTTATTTTTTTATTTGGTTGATCAAACGTAATGCATATATGTATACACAGTACGGGTTAAGTACGGGTACGTACAGTGAGTGTATAAGAGTTGAATTAATATCATAAAAATAAATACGAAATTGGATAGTACTTTATTGAATATATAAATGATGTGAAATTCCGGAGAATTGTAAACGTCTTTTTTTTTTCGGTTTTTGTACATTAATAGTACATATCATCATTTTGCATAGAAACCGAAGCTCTGTAACAAATATTTATGGATTTTTGTTAGAAAATCTTAACTATATTTACTTAATTCATATCAATGACATTGTCAATTTATTCAATTTATCATCGAAACCATACTGTGATAATTTTGTTACAGAATATGATCTGTTACATATCTGTAATAAATTTATGACAAGACTTTGACATCCAAATATAATGCGCAGCTTTTTTTCTAGTTTTGGATTGGTGGATTGTTTTTGGATTGTTGAATGTAAAATCAAAAGCAAAGAAAAAAAACCGTATTTACATATACTTTACATATCTGAACAATGAAGGTAAAAAGGATACTAATTAGCCCAAATTGTTGGGAATATGTATCCGAAAAAAGTTAATACTTGTTAAAACTATTAGCGTTAGAACTAGAGATCTGCAAGTGCCTGTGCCGGACATCAAAATACCAAGCTTTTTAGCGGAGGTAATATATTTTTGTCAGCAGATATACTTTATGAAGAAAAGTACAAAACTCTAAAAAGATTCACATGGATATTGCACATATCTAATTTCTTTTGATTGAAACTCGTCGTAAGAACTGTTTCAAGAAGTTATCTCAACTTTTTGTGAAATTCCGATCAGATTTTTAATTGTATTATCGCTAATCTCGAAATGGTTGAAATAGCATTATTTTTCAAAAAGACTTTTTTTTTTTTTTTTTTTTGCGAAACTAAGCGAGTAATTGTTTAGTATAATAATTGTGGCAGATCATAATGAAATCGGATTAAAATGAAACTGGGGACCTTTCTTGCTCATCTTTAAAGCTTATAAAACCCACTTATACTCTTTTATTAATTTTAAATTTTCCTAAAAAAAATAGAAAAATTTCATTTTAATCCGATTTCATTTTAATCTGTCACAATAATTACTATTTCATATTTGGAAATCGATCTTCGATCAATGTGATCAATGCTCTAAACTAATCGGTTATTCGGGTATTCGGGTATTCGCAAAGAAATTTTTTTTCTTTGAGAATATTATTATTCTCAACTATTTCGAAAACAGCGATAATCGAATAAAAAATTTTTATTAAAATTTTATATATTCTATTATAATAGGTGAACATTTAAAACTTGCAAGTTAACAAAAACATCTTCAAGCGTAAATTTATCCTGACAAATTTCCAGGCAATTCTTTATTGCGTTAACGGGTTGAAACGTTGAAAATAGATCTATTTTAATAAATAAGTGAAGAAAAACCAAAGTCTGCTTTTTTTTTTTGACGTTACTCATATTTAAAAATAAGGTAGCGATCTCTGATCCAAAGCTTTAATTTTATTGGTGTAACAGAAAAATCTGTTTATGACACAGCTCTCTCTTTCAATGGATCAATAAAGAATCTGATTGGCTACTTTGATCAAACTGACCAATCAGATTCTTTGTTGAGCCATTGAGGGTGGTCATGACGCAATCCAATAAAATTTGTCAAATATTAATTAATATCGATATATTTGACACATAACAACTTTAGCGAATTTGTTTTTTTGCGATTTCTTGTTCTACTTCAGACTCTTGCAATCGGGTTGGATAGCAATCACGGGATCACCAAATTTTTGCGCCATAACAATTTCACTCCTAAATTCATATTGTAAATGTTAACGTTAAAATTATTGTTATATTAGTCGCTAGAAACTGTTAAACCGTTATACGTACTGTTACGACGTTAAAAATCACATGCCATTATGCAATCATTAAAAACCTTTAAAGCGGTTTGTTAAATTACAGTGCAGACATATGCAACTATTAAAAACGGTTAAAAAAGTTTATCAAATTACATAGCCCGTTAGAAACTGTTACGTATAATATGATTTATTAAATAATCTAACCATTATATAACCGTTAGAAAAGTATTTGTGGATTTATGAAACTTGTTCGATTTGGTTCAAATTTAGTTTATAAAAATTCAATTCCACGTGTTCAACGCTAAATTTACTAAATATGAGAATGTGGAAATTTTAAGTACATTTCAATACTAGCGTTAGTATTTGGCTGGCGGATATGTCAGATTTGGAAGAACCGACCTGGAGACGATCTAACGCTATTTTCTCTACCTTAACGTTAAAGGAATCTGATATTCTAAGCCCAATTTAACAATTTAGCAAGTTTCAATCATTATATACAGATATATATATAGTGATGTGGCTTTATTTGGAATTGTCTGTATGTTACGTATACTGTTATGCGTATCAAATGTTGAATTTAATTGGCTTAATTCTGTAAAACTTTCAGCATTGTAACTTAGTGTGGAGAAATGAAATCATAAATGTTAATCGTTTATTAAATATTTATATATATTTTTATATATATCGTGACATACTATGTATATAGTATAAAATGCGTAAATATTGTCATACATACTTTTTTCTCTTTCAAAATTTGGAAAAATGCCTTCTGTAAGCTCAAAAGATTTTGCTACTATACAACAACTTTTAGAACATGATAATCAGAGAATGAACGAATTAAATCAGAGAAAGAACAAATTGAAATTGAACTTGATCAATTAAAGAAAAGTTTAAAT